ATAAATTATCCAATTAGAGCGAATCGTTTCGGACGCCTTTCCCGAACCCTTTTCCAGGTTCGACAGTTTCCTCCTGTGCGTGCCTGCACGCCCCTTTTTTTATTTGATCTTCGATTCTGCACGCACCGGGTAGCAAATCTCTCGTGTAATTCTCGATATTTCCGCGGGCAGATCGAACATGTGTCGGGAACGGTGTCGATTTCACGGCGTCCTTTTATCGGCGAAACGGCACGAATTTTCAAAGTGTGAAAAGGGTTGGCCGTGGACCCCTTCGAGAGAGGGTTGCCAGTTATCTTTTAGCTGACTTTGTTGGATTAAAAAACGACCATAGACGTTGCTTTTCGTATTTCCAAGAAACATATACTATTTGTATCGAAATCTTATGTCCGCTAAACTTCTCGCTAAGAGTTTATAGCAACGATTTATCCGCGAATCTTTATTTTTCTCAATGGAAGATAAAGAGGAGGAGAAAATAGAAATAAAAGTCAATTCTCGAGTATTTTATGAACAATTTTACTGTGCAAACTTGCAGCGTAGAAACGCATCGAATACAAAGTGCTAAGAGTAAACATTTCCCGGTAAGCCATTTTCTCCGGCATAAAAATCCTCCGTAGTCATTTATCAAATCCTTACTTTCGCGGGACGTCGTTCTACGCGGCCGATCCGTCGTAAAAGTCTCCTAACTGTAACTTTCTCGGCGATAAACGTTTTACTTGGACCGTTAAATAAAAAGTTTTCAGATATTTCCAGGGAAACTGGGTAATAGCCTAAAGGCGCTATTGTAATTACCTGCAGTTTTTATGGCTTCGATAAAATTCTGCACAAGAACGGCAATTAAAACGGCATTTTAATTGAAATATCTTAACATTCTTTTTCTTCCATTTTCTGACAGATTAATCTGTATCACCATCTCGAAATTAATGAACTGTGATAATGTTTCGAGGGACACGTGACCGCGAGGATTCTAGGAGGAGAATGAGTCTAGCTTGTCGGTGCATAATCGCCAGTGTTATGGATGAGCACCTTGGATGCAAATGCGACCTGTAAAGAGCGGTATTATGCACGGGTTTCGTTTAGAGTCAGTTCAATAGACTCGATCGAATCGGATCATACCGTGTCATGCAAATTATGCAGCGTCGATCTCGTCGGTGATTCATGCTCAAGTACGATTGATACTTATCCATTCTATCTCGACAAATAGACCTTACATTACAAGAATTTTGCAAGATAAAAAATAAATATGCTAAGAATGGAGATTCTATGAATATTATAATCGAAAATACCTATGCAAGCTTCAGTCTAATTAATTTGAACCGAGTAAAGTATAATTTTACGAATTTCAATTTAACGCTTGAACGTCGTGATTATCAGGAATAGAATATTTCAGGCTATTATGAGATATAGCGATATTCAGTGCTTAATAAATATTTATATAGGATGTAACAGTGTGATTAACATTACGATTTTACAAGATAATTATAAGATTTAGATTACGTCATCGCCGAATCTGCAGATATTGGAATATAATCGATTGAAGTATAAAGTTATCAACACTGCTCTTAAATTACATAAATGTCTCGTATAGTCTGGAATAGCGGTTTTAAAGCTTCGGTGGTAGAAATAGAAATAAAATTTAACGGTCTTTGTAGAAAACGACTGAATTTCCATGGAACTCGAGGAAACGTTAATCTGCGAATTTATATTTATTAAAACATCTTGCTTTACTCTATCGTATTCAATTTTGAAATACCTGCGAAATGTCGCTGTTCATTTAAATAATAATTGGTGTGAGGAACACGTGTCAATCGTTGTTTGCTTAAAAACGGCGCACGTTATCGCGCGAAAAGGAAGCGATCGAGTTCTTCGGGAAATTATCGGTCGGAAGCACGGCAATTATGTAAATCTTATAGTCGGACAGTTTCATCATTTTCGCTCATTATACGCATCGTTATCTGTCTTCCGTTTACGGAACAGGAGAATTTCAAACCGGCATCCTAGGGCAGAGGCAATTACCGCACTCGCGTGTTCTAAACTGTTATCGTGCATCAATAAAGCGTCGAAGTCGAGAAACTATTATAGCTAACCGCGGAAAAGAGTAAAGAAACTTTAGAATATAATTATACAACCTAAGAAAACAAGAGCATGTCTTGAATCATTTATGTCAGATAATAAGGAATTATATTGATAGATATTTCCATCGAGAAATGCGGTTGAGAATATTTTTCAGAATTTGTTGACCAATATTTCGTTCGACTTCCCTTAATGTATAGAAAATGTTATCTATAGTTTCAGAAATAAATGTAACTTTTCAACTGAACAGTAGTTAATTTTTAATATTTCGAAACAGAAAGGAAGACCGTAATTTTGTTAAGTCTTACATAAATTTCGAAGAAACACTTACAACTTGTGCCATCTGAAGACTGCATTCTTGATATTCGTGTATTTTACAGAATATGTGTAAATAAGAAGTATGACTTAAATTATATTGTCTATTTTATTAAGGAATAGTGCGTTACTCTAAGACTGCACCTAATATTGTCGTGTCTGGGCGAACACGAAATATCGAACGCATTCATAAATCATGGTGAATGACTACTCGTCGGTAGCGAAAGGTGATTTTCGCGTCAGGGGTGAAATATGTTTGTTCTCAATGAATAAATTATTGACAGTACACTTGGAGCATGCGAATATATGCTTGATAACAAATCGTTATGCAAACATGTCAGACGCGGTCTCGATATTTTTCGTTCCCTTTTTAACTAATCTCGCATGTTGATGAAAATTATAGTTCTGGAAAATGAACGACGAGTTCAGGGAAACACGATTAAACGGACGCTATATTAAAATACCTCTTGGTTACTTAATAAAGCTGGGGTGTCAAATAATTGACGTGGCTGCGATTGATAGACGTTAATACACGTCGAAATCAATGATTGTCGATTATCCTATCGCGCTACCGGTGATCCGTTTGCATACTGATATTTCGTGGGAGCATCGGAAGTATGTTTACTCGCGTGCAATTTCATATCTTACGAAAACTAGATCTGAGATCACCTACTTTGATGTGCAGCTATATTTTATTATTATTCAGGAAACCCTAATGTCACTTGTTCTAGAGATATTGAGAAATTTGATTAATTGAATGTATAATCCATGCATTTTCTCTTCATTTTCATTTTATGTTTCAAGAAGTTGATAAGTATTATTTATTAGAACAATTGTATTCAGCTCTACAGTGTACAGTAATTAAAAAACTAACAATAATATTTTAAAGGAAGGAAGAAATTATCAGACATCGATTAATCGTGGAAGGTGCGCTACACTAAAAGACCTGTCTATTCAGCCTGAGCTACCTGTTCGTTTCCATAGCGATCTCCCAAGCATTATCAGCTGATTAGCGAATGTGACATATGGTCGTAGTTGATTTTATTAGATTATCGTCTACTTATTTTTAACCATACATCCTACGGCAGCGTTCAATCGACGATCCGTGAGCGAAAATATTCACCTCATTGTAGCAAACGGAAGAACGACAGCTGTTTTCCTTCATAGTGTCAGTGGTAAGATTAAAAATTAATTGTATACTTTAAGAACTTTTTTACTTGTGTTCTACAATTGTATTTCTAAGCATTACACATGAATAGTTTAGTTTAATTTAGATTTCATTTAGAACGTCCGAAAAAATCCATGCTTATGTATTGATTCATTGCTAGCTGCTAAAGTTTAAGCATATGTTTAATTGGGCACGAATAATTACAAAGCGAACAGTAATAATGAGCGCGTATTGTAAAATAGATCTTGAATTATGCATAACGCGTTGCTCCTTGTTATGGATAACCCACTATACACAGCGTCATCCACGGAAAACATTGTCGAGGCACAGCACTTCGTATATCACATAATATTATAAAAACAGTCAGAATCAAAACTTACAAATTATATTTACCAATTAACATGCTTAATTAAATTAATATAAGTTTATAACTAAATCAAATTATGAAAGTTTGAACATTATTAACAATTTTATTAGTATCAACATGAAGACCATTCCCAAGATTAGTAACATTGTTTAGTCCACTCTGTCTTATACCTTCCCAGATCTCATTAATGAATAAAATTCGCACTCTAATGATTGTGAATAATTTATTTTATTCTTATGACAAGAGTTCTGTTAACACACCACAAAATTCGGTGCTCGCCTCCGCGTAAGATCCATAAAGAGGTGTAATCGCCCTAAAAACCTCTAATCTCCTAAACTGGACGACTACATCACCATGGCACGCGTCTAATGCACACATAGGTGAGTGGTGGGGAGAACGCTGGGTGCCCCTCCGTCGTGATTATGGGGTGAACTCTTGGTACGGTGCCCCATAGAAGGCGGACCGCCCTTATGGAGGGGGCAAAATACCCCCGGGAGAGTATATATGTTCTAAGAGCCCCATGCCACTTTCGCAGTACCAAATTGTGCCCCGTCTAGGACACTCCTCGTCCCTTATTTCATTTTTCCCGCTGCCGCTGGGTCACTCGGACTATGCCTTGGAACGATTTTCTGTAGACTATTCGGAAATAACGTACGAGTATCGCCGAAAGTGCTGATTTGTGTGAAGTGATCGATTCGGATAAATTGGAGAACCAAGGAAAATCGATATCCTCGCTTTGATTAATTTATCAAGTAAGATTCTTAGTGAATTATTTGAACTTAATTAAGAGAGTAAAGACAATGACAGTAATATTTAGTAACCCATAATTTTCGGGGTGTATTTATTTGGAAATTTCTGTGTATACATGAAAATTCTTTTTATGGAAGATTTATTAAATATTAGATATTGAAATATGAATTAAAATTAATTCCTTGAGGATATTTATACTCGATATATGTAAATGATAGTATTTGATTTGTAATCTAAAGATTTTATAAACAAAAAGAAGATGTTAGGATAGAAGATTACAGTTTGCTAATATTATCCGATTTTTATTGTGTTTTATAGATAGTACCCATTATGTCCTCGGAGTACTCATTCTGCAGCGAAGGTGGTTTCGACGAGTTGTCCAGTTCTTCCGACTCAGGATTCGATGTCAGCTTCGAATCGCCAAAACATGAAATTCAAGCGGATACTCTGTTTCCACCGGTGAAAGAGGAAAAGCGGAAGAAGGCGAGGAATACGCGGTGCAAGAGTCCTACACAGGTAAGCATGCAAACACAACCATAATAAAACATTTTGAGACATAATTCATCGTATCCAAAAACGCCTAATAAGAATGATAAAGCCTAAAAATTGAATGCAATTTAAAATATACTCATTTCACATTACTAATTCACCGATTCTCTGAAACCACCTCTATACTTCAATATAAAACACTGCATCCTACTATTCGATTTCAAACGAACACTTACCCCATAAAATGCTCTGAACGCGTATCGAGAATCCGGTCCACCGGTCAAAGAAAAAGGGCGAAGCAAAGATCCGATTGAAACGATCACATGGAACCATTGATCCGTTCGCAGGTGCTCAGGCTGAAAAGGAACCGTCGGATAAAGGCGAACGATCGCGAGAGGCACAGGATGCACACCCTGAACGACGCGTTGGAGCGACTCAGGATGGCGTTGCCGACCTTCCCGGAAGACACGAAGCTCACGAAAATTGAGACGCTGCGTTTTGCCCACAACTACATCTGGGCGCTGTCGCAGACCCTCGGGAACGCGGAAACCGGTGAGATCACGGTGAATGTGGGCAACGTGACAGTCAGCATCAGCGAGAACGGGAACATGATCACATCGTCCACAGGAAGCTGTGCTGTAGCCGCGCAAAAGCGGCTCGGACCGTCGCACACCGCGTTCCCCTATCCTCAAGAGAGATTCGTACCCGAGTGGCAGGAGTACGACTGCTACAGCGATCAAAGTGTCAGTCCGCCGATGCAGTATCAGCCCTGTTACGATCAGAGGATGTACCACACGCAGCACCAGCTGCCTCCGCCCCATCACATGCCCCACAACGCCATGTACCAGTGTCTTTAGAGAAGATCCTCTTCGCGGAATGTGAACGTTCACGATTGTGCGATTTCCGACCCGCTGTCGCGATAGACCGCGGCTTGGAAGATTTTAGGATGATTCCGGGATTTTAAGGAGTTCAATGATCAATCCTGCTGCGTTTCTCGACTTATCTGTACATTTGGCATATTAACAAAATTGGAAGTAGACTAGCAAGAAGTTTCTTTATGATATTGTTAAATTCACATTGATTGGATGAAATGAGGATGTGATTTAACTGGGGAAGATTAAACGAACGAGATAATGCTGAAACACTGAGAAAGTGATCAGGCTAAACAGACCCGAAGAACGCAGCAGGGTTAAAGAACGCGCCAAGGATTCGTTGATGATTTATAGAGATTTAGAGATCGTACTTTAGAAGGTTGAATTCGAGGAGAAAGATCGAGACGTTCTTTCAAATGTGTGGGGATGTTGGATGAGTCATCGCCGCCATTGTAACATTCCGTTGATAGGACAGTGTGTTAGGACTTGTTTGATATCCGAAGTGACGACAGTGTGATTAATCCAATGGTATATTTTTTGAAATTTTTGTGAACGACCAGGTGACTGAACTGAAATCTAGTGATTAACCTGATGTAGGATACAACATATGAATCTTTTTTGTTTTAAACCGACTGCTATTCGTAGGATAACTCTTTAATTCAGGGACTACAAACCAAAGAACTGTCTTCAATAATTATTGCAGCTGCGATTGATGCATTTTTATGCAAAATACGTTAAGAGTTAGATAATTGGTTGAGATATCTCTAAAAAGATAATTCTTCACGCTTCGATAAACTTTTCTGCTCTGTATTCTTCATGATTCCCAAGTATCATCGCGTTTTGCAATTTGCAAGCAACACGATTTCCCTGTTGCGTGTGAATTTGTATTGTAGAATCGAGGCAAACGATGACCAGTGGTGACGTTCGAGCTTAATTTGCGTCTACGAGCGATTGTAAAAAAAAAAGGGGAGTAGGCCAGTGCGAGTGATGATCGTTATTTACTTTGTAAGAGAGTATTCTATTTGCAACGAATTTCTAGGATTAAGGATTAGCGATAAGCCCATAGCAAAGATTCTTTTAGTTTCGATGTTCTCTCTTCGTTGAATATATTACCCGCTCCCGGAGAGATCGACACACGATTTATGTTTTCCACCGAAACACGTACTAAACCGCGTTCCTTCTTCTTTCTAGTCATTCGATCATTCACAGATCTTGATCTCGAGCGCTTGATCTCAGCCCTTGTTTCTAGGTTTAATTTTATTTAAGCGTGCGCCTCCGTCAGTGCTCTTATCGGATTCTGAAATCACCGATTCAGGGAATATATATTGTACAGAATTTATATCTTATCAATAAATCATATTTTACCTAGCCTGGTTATACTTTATCGATTCCACTTCGAACACCAATGGAGCTTACGTTCGGTGCGTTAGATACATGCGGATGAACGTTTGCCGCCATATTGATTGTCGACGTACACGACTGACATGAATTACGAATCAAACGAATAATTTTTATTTTCTGCATAAGCAGTAATATACATAGCAATGATATACAATTTAAAAATAAAATTATATAAGTTACATCCTCAAATGAATTTATTCATTACCTCTGCTCGAGGGAATTGTTCTATGAATTATATTTTTACATATCATTATATGCATCCTTGCTTAGAGGAAACAAGTGTATTATAGAATTTAAATTGATAGAATTCCACTTGCAATAATCAGATCGTACCGATCAGGATTCAGTTTCTTTAAAAAATAATGAGAGATAGACCACGTACGCGTACCGCAATAAAATCATCGAAGCACGTGGGGTGAAACGATACGCAAACAGTTGCCATCTTACGAACCGAGCGTGCTCGAGCCACTTTGCAGGAATGAATTCCTGTTCAAGAATGAATAAGCACGTGCCAGGACACGTGTCCTTTGTAGAAATCACTGCGGGGCAGATGTATCACAAGTTGCGCACGAAATTACGCCTACCCAACTAATCCGACGGATTACACCAAGAACGTGACTTTCAAACGCTCGAAATCGATTTCGATCTGAAAAATTCACTTTGGTACCTGTTCTTTTTTGTCCTCTTTCTATATATTCTTTTCTTCAATTATATTTCGTTCGTTGTGATCGTCGAATCTGTTGAACTAAATTCTCGGTCTATGATTTATACTGTATCTTGAACCTACATTTTACAACAACAAATATAAGATTAGATTCGTAAATATAGAATGGAATTTCGATATAAGACTGAAATTAAAGGGATGCAATTTTCATGTACGAATACGTAACAATGGAAGGGGAAGAGAAACACTCTGGTCGTTGAAACAGAAATAGCAAGACCACCGGGCAAATATTATTTTTCCATCCCGAATTCAACAGTTCCGATATTTTGATAGTTCCCGCCCCGTATGCCCTCCATTTGATCGAACGGCCAAATTCATGTATTTATTTTCTCAACACTTGGGTGTGGTATCACAACAGCGGAACACCCACTTGTTCTACATAGTTATGGAAATTATCTTCTTCGCGTTGATCGATCGGTTTCCTTTAAAATTCAAAATCAGCTGATTCGCGAAACATTGAATTTTCATTTTCTACGCTACTAAATCGATCAAAATTTATTATGAATTGAATTGCGCGTGGTCTGTTGCACTGGCAAGATGAAAATTATAGAAGAATACAGAAATTGGGAAGGTTAAAGAAATTTAGAATTTAATCGGAACATCTATATTTTCTATTAGATTAATATGCGTGCATGGATAGAAATATTTTCCTTGTATGGAACGGTTCTGCAGCATCCTTTGCCACTTGATCAATAATTTCGTATACGAAGCCTATTTGCAAACAAGCTGCAAGCTGCGTCGAATCCGTTAGCACGCTCGATCGTTTCCCCAAATCTCGCCAATAATGGTAATGCTTCAATGGAACCATTATGTCGGCGACATGGAACTGTGTGCATAGCACGACAGACGGCCAGGAACCGTAAAGGTGTTGGATTTTGGGGGATTCAATCAGTTTTTGCCATGGCCTCTGCACCCCGTAACTGCTTCCAACCTTAGGGGTGCGACTGTGGAAAAGAAGAAATTGGAAACACCGGTGATTTATTTCACGGAATTACGCTAATTCAATCCCTCGAAATTTACGAGCCAGTTTCCGGTTTGCCTTCCGATAACACGGACTCGAATAAGAAATACATTTTTAAGCCAATAATTTACTACTATCGATTACAAGAGTAATATATGAATCCCCCAGAAACCAATGCGGTTACGTCCAGAAAACAAAAATTGAGCAAATTAATGTTTCGACTTCTGGATTGATTATACAACGTATTTAGAAGCTATAAAAAAGGGGCTTTATGACCTACAAAAAACGAAGTATATCCTTGAATAACTAAAAAGTATATTATTTATTCCATTAAAATTGACAAAAATCAGAAAATATTCTGAGCAACTCATACGAAAATTGTCAAAATTAGTTAAACGCGACTTTTAGAATACGAAACAATTAATTTCAACCTTCAATTAACTTTCCACAGTGAAAACTGATATTTTGCAACATAGCATAATAACGGTTAAATAAAAACAATTTACAATCGTTTCACCTGCGTGTTAGTATAATTAACTAACTTTTTGCACGCGTATTCAATCGCTGCTGCAAGTTCCAACTTTCAATTGCTATAAGAAATCTCCAATACGTTCGACCAGCATGATTCAAGGTTCAAAATTGAACCCTTCGTCTGAGCTCCGGAATCAAAGAACAATAGTCCCGAAGGTCCTCGTTCGCCGTTTGATTTAAACAAAGATTCACCGAGGAATTTTTTACAGGCCATAAACATCGGAGCCGCCTGCATTTCCAGGCGCAGTGATTTCGCTTTGATCGACCTTTCGCCGGGTCGTTTCCGTCGAGTGCACATATCGATCGCGTACGGGGCCCTCATTGTACCGGGGCGCTGGTCTGTATGGTGACATACTGGTGACTGACAGAGGTGCTCCCCCGTGGAGAGCACGGGTAGACGGTAGGGTACCTAAACGCAGACCGGCTCGAAAAGGGGAGACGGGTTTTCCTAATTCATGAAAATTCGTGAAATTACCTTGACCGATCGTTGCACACTTAATCGAAGATTAATGGCAACGGGTCTCCACGACGCGAACGTCCCTCCTGATAAAATAATTGATCGGCTCCTCGGATTCCAGACTGCTCGAAAAGAGATCGGAAGTCTTTTTGTTAAATTTGGAGAAACTCGCGCCGTTTGCCCGTGAACATTCGGGAAATTAGTTTGACCGGTCGTTGAACGCTTAATCGGAGATTGATGACGGCATGTGCTCGTGGTGTAATGGCTGAGGACGTGGAAAGCATTATTAAGTATTTGAAACTGCTTTCTATAGAGCAGGAACACGAACATTTGATTTTCAATGAAAATTTAGCAACCAGTGGTCCGTTTGTTATTTGAAATTCAATTTGTTCGAAATGATCAGGGTAGAGAGAATTGTCACCAATAAAAAATTAAATCAAACAAAAGCAATGTCGATAAACGTAACCACCCTCGTGCGTGTTTACCCCAAAAAGACTGTCGACAGATAGGCAGAGGGTGTAAAAAGAAGATTCAGACAAACATCTTTCGGCATCGTATTTCGGCATCTGTTTAGACGTACTACGTAGGGTAGAGCGGGCTTTTCATTGCAAGTTGGCATTTGCAGGCCTTTGTGGTAAACCACGAACAATGCCGGTTAGACCACTGCGTCACGGGACACACCCCGCGAGCACCATAGACTTCCATTCCTCTCGCCACGCTGCATACGTGGCAGCTCGCTAAAATATGGAAAGCCTTATTTGAGCTTGAGATCGACGCCCCTGCCATGGATCAATTGAATTAATGACGACGAGACGTGAAAGTTGATTATTCTGTCGTCATCAAGAACGAAGTCCGCGAGCACATCTTATTGCAGTTGTGTCGTGACGACGTTAAAATAAACGATTATCACT